CAATGGCTTTTAATTGATGTAAATTTTCTCTAATCTATTCAGAATTGTGACAATTTTTCTTAGATTTGTTAAGGAATAGTAAGAATCTCTTCTAAAGCATTATTGTTGTATTAACTTAGGAGTAGGTTTTGCCTTTTAATGTTACAAATTATAAAACCATGAGTGTGTTCATTAGATTGGATATTTTTCAACAAAGATATGAATTTGCGATATAATAAATGTTTGTGTGATGTATGGGCTCTAGCATCGTGATGTCGAAGTAACTATCGTAGGCTACAATTTTGCGATTTACACCTTTGGTTTATGTTTTTTTTTTAATTTATTTTATACTTGATTCTGTGTAAAGAAAGTAGTGTTAGAACTGTAGTCTCAGTTGTGTTTTGTATATTTATGTATGAATGAAATGGTTTTGATATAATTTTTAAGAAAATCGAAAGATATTGTTGCAGATTTTATCTTCTTATATTATTTATAAATAAAATTGAGATTAGAAAAATAACCTCTATTGTTATTATTCTTCGAAATGTGCTTGAGCCCAAATTGATATTTTATCTTAAATAAAACAATGTCATATAATATAGCATTTTATTTTAACAATCTTCCTTAACTATATTATGAAAATGCTTGTTCATATAAATAATTTTCTACTTAAAATAAAGCCAAAAAATCAGACCAGCAATTTTAGCAATTATAAAACGAGTTAAAATACATTTAAATATAAACAAAGCTAGAAATGATCTGATTTTCAAAATAAGGCTCCGATCACACTGGTACAGAAAGTATCGAGTTGAGTTTTTCCCCAGTCCCTCTAGACAAAAATATATGGAACTGCCAATGAATTTCGTAAGACACGTGTCACATTTATTTCTAACATTTTGTCATATTTTTGTCCATTTATTAGCGAAATCAGTAATTAAAGTAATTTTATCTAGAGAAACAACTCTCATGTAAAAGCAGTTGTTTACATTTATATTGATTGAGGTATCTTTAATTCTCTTTGACGATACAGAGAAAACAATATTAATAAAATTGTCACTTCAAAGTATATTATGTATATAAAATACATATGTCGACACGAAAAATACAACTGTCCTCATCATTTTGATTCTGCGCCAGTGTGACGTAAGCCTTATATTATAATTTGAATAATCAAGCATAGTTCTTTTACTATAAAAAAATATACATGTATATTACATTTAGTAGTTCCAATAAGTTTCAAATATTCCTTGTACATAAATGAGAAACAACATTAGGCGGCGACATGCTAAATTAATATCTTGTAGCAAATCTAAAATCATAAATTCGTATTTTATGTAAATAAGTGAAAATCAACATTAACATAATGTAAAGTATTTACGAGTCGTAAATAAATTTTGAAATTCATTGAAAATAAAAAAGAATTTTATGAAAGAAAACATTGTGATATCATTTTGTTATATTTTAATTTTACTGTACATTTTCTCTTAAAACATATGCATTTTGTATTAAAATTAAATAAATTGAAGTTTCCCTATAAATAAATATATACATAAGTATTTTAAGAACTATATATCACTTCTAATAACAGTCATATAATGTACAGTTTGGGAAAATTTCGGTGTTCCAGTTCAAAAGTAACAATCATTTGAACATATGAAACGAGATGTGGAACAATAACCAATACAATGCAGCTTATAAATGTATCAGTACGAAAAGTCTGTAGGATACATGCTTATTACCCCGTAGTTTGCGCAACTCACTGTTACCTAATTGCTTGTTTGTATAAGTCAAAGTTTCTCTCTTTGCAAGGAACAAGACAAATCTGTAACTGAAACACCGTAACTTCCCGCGACTGTACCTACATCATAATAGACTCACTCGTTTTAAATCCTGGTAAAATATAATTTGATAGGGAACTTGCTAATTTCTGATTAGGACTGGCGACTAAATAATCATCATCTTCTGCAACCAGTTTCTTCTTTAGGCTAGAATATTGCGTTTCATCGTCGCAATCTTTAGCCCAGTCTTTATATTCTATGCATAGTGGCCATATTATTTGTCCTGATCTGTAAAATAAATGTCAGATAAAATACCCTGTAGCCGAAAACTCTCAATTCATGTTGATGAGTGCAAATATATTTGAATAAAAAAAAGTTTAAAGGGTCATTCCGTTTTTTAATTAACAAATCAGACTAATATTATAATTACGAAAGTTTACATTGATGTTTATTAGAAGGTATCTTCAGATTGGCTTAATGGATGTTAATAAAATTTGTCATGGATATAGAACATAGTCTAGAACACATAGGCTTTGACTTTGGTTTTTTCTTAATTCCCTGCTGTCGGCCTCAACTCCGATATTATAAATGCGAAAGTTAAGATGGATGGATGTTTGTTAGAATTTGTAGCCTAAACGGCTAAAGGTATTTTGATGAAATTTGGCATATATGTAAAACATAGTCTGGAAGAACACATAGGCTTACTTTTGTTTTATTGTTCCATGCTAAGTGAACGCTTAAAGGGAAGAATATTATGAAAATAACTGACTTAGGCAAGGTGTATGGGTCGAAGGGGAACCACTCGTCGTAGACGTGATCGTTGTGGTGGTGCAGCGAGTGGCGCGTGTTCCTCTCGATGATGGCCTGGCAGTAGACGAGCTGGTGCGCGCGCGTCACGGAGGCGAAGGCGCGCGTCACCTGCGGCGGGCTGGTGCGCAGCGGGTTCAGCGCGCAGGTCACCAGCCGCGGCAGGTTCAACGATTCCACAAAATTTACACCTACACACAAAGGATACAAGGGATTATAAAATATTAGTTGTCGCCCGTGACTTCCTCTGTGTGAAATTTAGAAAAAAATAAACTACAGCCTATGTTACTCACAGATAAATTACCTTTCTAACAATATAAGAATTTTTATTCAGTTATTTCAATACATACAAAAATACGAATCTTTCCATCTTATAATATAGACGAGTTTTCGCCCGCGACACCATCCGCGTGGAATTAAGAAAACAGAAATACGCAGCCTATGTGTTCTTCCAGACTATCATCTTCATCTATGCCAAACATAAAGAGATCTCTTCAGTAGTTTAGGGTACAAACTCTAACAAATCATCCATTGAACCTTCGTTTTATTTTATTACTCACGGGCGGAGTTGCGGGCAAAAGCTAGTATCAATAAAAATGGATCTATCTTACCACATGCCATAAAACTTAATTACATTAAGCAAAATCGCGTACACCAAATCATGGTCAAACCATGGTTTTTGTTCTAACAGGTTTAAGTTACATCTTGTAATATTTTAAAAATACTTTAAATAAAAAGATACTCACTTTCTTTACTAACAAATAGTTGATGATTTTTGAATGCAACTAAATAGAATATAGCATGGCATATAGAATGGAACACTCCATGCACTTTGGTGTTATCACTGACTGTGGTTGACTCTTGAGTTGCGGTAATATACGAATGACACCATTCAGCCATACTCTTCAAGTAATGTATAAGTCTACTGTTTGAGATACGGACACACCGAGCCAGTAAGCCAGCGAGATGACTGGTGGCTGTCCGTCTTGTGGCCAGTGCGCCAGGCCCGGAGCCGTGAAGACCGGCCGCTATCATCCATAGATTGGAGAATATGCGATCTGCACATTGTTGGCTTATTGATATTGTGTATAGAATTAAGAATTGGACGTGTCTGAAATTATAAAGGTATAATCAATTTATTTTGTATTCCAAACATTTAAAATCAATTTTTATTTTTTTTATATAAAAAATGGCAAGTAAGCGGCCATCTTCCTTTCTTCCTACGCTTTCCTCTGAAGAAAAGAGTAAAAAGGGAAAGGGACTAGAATTATTAATTAAGAGCGAAAATAATTTAATTTGTGCGTCTTTTATAGGAAATAACTACTAAAATACTTCCTAAGTTTTCTTAACTAATGCAAATATTATTATTATTTATTACAGACATAAAAGAATTTATTAACTTGCTATTTTTAAATTAAATTGACATTTGTACATCTCAACTTTCGTAATATCTATGCAACATTTTAAATCTAATTTTGAATATTTAAAACTCACCTTATACCATGCGTTGGTAATATAACTCTCTCAAAGACATTACACATTATAACAAGAGCGGGTTCTCTCTCATCTTCTAGCCATTTTAATACTTCTATCATACAATAATCCAGTGTCTCTGATACAGTATCCTGTTCCTCTGCATCCATTTCAAACATCGTGTCTATTTGTGCCTTATTTTTAGCTTGATCTTCTATATTAACATCCATCGTAACCATTCTGCGGAATAAATATAGTAAAAAATTGAGCATTTATTTTAGTATAAGGGAAATCTTAAAAACATACCCAGCTAAGGATAACTTTGTTATTTGAAAAATGACTCTCTAAACTCTCTAAACCCTTCCTGGGTTCTTATTAAAAACAATTTTGTGGCCATCTTTGGCTGTGAGGTGGTCCTTCAATCTCCCAAGAAACACACATATATTGCAGTAAATTATATGCACTACTGTGGCAAATTACTAGCATTTTTGAACTACTGTTTGTAGCGGTCACTTGTGATATCACATCTTTGTATGACACCTACAACTGTTTATTTCATTTATCAAATCTTGTAAAGATGACCACATTATAGTTCTGTCTTTTTTAATGCCTGTTAAAAACATTTTCAACAAAATAGGCCTTTTCTACAATGAACAGAAGTGATTGTGTATTTTTAATATCAATACAAAACATGTGATAAGGTTATATCAATTTTATAGCATAAATATGCAAATCAACATAATATTATCTTATCTGAAGGCAAAAGGCAGTTTTCCTTGACCTAAAGAAAAATATTGTTGTAAACTCATAAGTTGTTTGGAATATTGGTAAAATAAACTTGACAAGAGTCTTGACAGATTTGATTGTGCCTTATATCTTTTTGTTTTAACCCTTTTACTATATTTTAAAATTAGTTTCATAAAAATCTTTGAAGGAAATGATTCTATGTATCACTGAAACGCTAGTGAAAAACCATTAAAGTTTATTTAGCATTTTTTTTTATTTAACTAGATTTAATTGTTTTGTCTTGTTCAAAGAAAATAAAAAAAAAATAAAAAAAGGTGTTTACTTGAAACATATATAAGAAATAAATAGTTTACCTGTTAATAATAGCCATGACAAGTTGCTCCTTTAGCAATGGTAAATATTTGCCCATCCATATTAAATTATGTACATAAGCTCTGTTTGAGAAACAGCCTGCCTTGTAATATGGGAACTGGTCAATGATTGTTTGCATTAGTAGGTCAGTTGTCCTGAAATAAAAAAAAATATAGCACCAATAGCCTAATGGTTTGGGGTACTGACTACCAATCTTGCAGTCGAGGGTTCAAATCCCACCATTCAACTATTGTCATGAACCATATCCTAGCACAAGCCTAGAGCTTAGTTGGAATGGTTAAAAGAAATATTAGTAAATTAACAAAAAAATCTACTAATATTTAAAAAAATGTATATTGAAAACTTACAAATATAAGTGGATTGAATATTTAAATAATTACTTTATGATATCCCACATTATTTCTAAGAACTGTTAGAGCCTAATGAAATCACAAAAGCTGGATTAAATATAAATATTACTTGGTAAAAGTCCTTTCCAGCTATTATAAATATTTTTTGATAAAAGTACTCCAAGTCTCTTTAATGAAAATCATGTTTGAACATGACTATATTTTCAGATAAGATACTGTTATTCTACACAAAACATTGTTCTTATTATAAAAATATGATGTGAAAATAATTTATTTTATTATAAGGCTCCTGCAGCACAGGGAAACCTAGTACAGGAGCCAAGGCTCTCATAAAATGTATATATTTTTTAAAGAGAAATAATAAAGGATTTATTTTTTTATTCATTATCGCCCATGGGATTAATTAAATCAAGTAAACTTAATGTATATGGATACATCTTTAAACTTAAATAGGCCACAAAACCCTTGAT